GACTGCGGTGAGTGCGTATGCCCACTAAGAAGACTGCAGTGAGTGCGTATACCCACTAAGACGACTGCGGTGAGTGCGTATACCCACTAAGAAGACTGCGGTGAGTGCGTATACCCACTAAGAAGACTGCAGTGAGTGCGTATACCCACTAAGACGACTGCGGTGAGTGCGTATACCCACTAAGAAGACTGCAGTGAGTGCGTATACCCACTAAGACGACTGCGGTGAGTGCGTATACCCACTAAGAAGACTGCAGTGAGTGCGTATACCCACTAAGACGACTGCGGTGAGTGCGTATACCCACTAAGACGACTGCAGTGAGTGCGTATACCCACTAAGACGACTGCGGTGAGTGCGTATACCCACCAAGACGACTGCGGTGAGTGCGTATACCCACTAAGACGACTGCAGTGAGTGCGTATACCCACTAAGACGACTGCGGTGAGTGCGTATACCCACCAAGACGACTGCGGTGAGTGCGTATACCCACTAAGACGACTGCAGTGAGTGCGTATACCCACTAAGACGACTGCGGTGAGTGCGTATACCCACTAAGAAGACTGCAGTGAGTGCGTATACCCACTAAGACGACTGCGGTGAGTGCGTATACCCACTAAGACGACTGCAGTGAGTGCGTATACCCACTAAGACGACTGCGGTGAGTGCGTATACCCACTAAGAAGACTGCAGTGAGTGCGTATACCCACTAAGACGACTGCGGTGAGTGCGTATACCCACTAAGAAGACTGCGGTGAGTGCGTATACCCACTAAGAAGACTGCAGTGAGTGCGTATACCCACTAAGACGACTGCGGTGAGTGCGTATACCCACTAAGACGACTGCAGTGAGTGCGTATACCCACTAAGACGACTGCGGTGAGTGCGTATACCCACTAAGAAGACTGCAGTGAGTGCGTATACCCACTAAGAAGACTGCAGTGAGTGCGTATACCCACTAAGAAGACTGCAGTGAGTGCGTATACCCACTAAGAAGACTGCAGTGAGTGCGTACACCCACTAAGAAGACTGCAGTGAGTGCGTATACCTACTAAGACGACTGCGGTGAGTGCGTATACCCACTAAGAAGACTGTAGTGAGTGCGTATACCCACTAAGACGACTGCGGTGAGTGCGTATACCCACTAAGACGACTGCGGTGAGTGCGTATACCCACTAAGAAGACTGTAGTGAGTGCGTATACCCACTAAGAAGACTGCAGTGAGTGCGTATACCCACTAAGAAGACTGCAGTGAGTGCGTATACCCACTAAGAAGACTGTAGTGAGTGCGTATACCCACTAAGAAGACTGCAGTGAGTGCGTATACCCACTAAGAAGACTGCAGAGGAGCTGGTGTATGAGGACGAAGAGAAGGAACGGTGCTCAGCCACTTAGGCCACTGGGGATCGAACCCGGCCCTGCAAGAAGCGAGGCCATCGCTCAAGTGGAAGACACGTAGTCAAGTGACAGCGACTAACCAAACATTTTTTTTAAGTAGATAATTTCGCTCTACTTATACTTAACTATTACTTACCAAGCAAGCGGAATTATTACACAGCTACTTTACACATAATATTTTGAGTGACATATTATGAATTACTTATTTAAGTAAGGTAGAAGATAAGTGGCAGTAACGGGGCGGAAGATATCACATCAGAAGAAGGAGGAACGACAAACTAAGTAACTTGGAGCTACTTGCAAACGACACCGAGATGATAAGCATATTTTTATGGAACTTAAAGCCACTTATGGAACTTTTAGCCACTTAAAAAAATGTAAGTGATAAAATCTTGCAGGTTAACTTGGAAAACTTAAATAGAAGCTGAAATAGTAACCCTTACGACGTCCTTGGAGACTTAAGTAACCTTTACCACATCCCCTGAGGACTTAAGTAACTCTTACGACGACCATGGAGATTTAAGTAACTTACATCGTCCCTTAAGGACTTAAGTAACCCTTACGACGACCCTGGAGATTTAAGTAACTTACGACGTCCCTGGAAACTTAAGTAACTTACATCGTCCCTTGGGGACTTAAGTAACCCTTACGACGTCCTTGAAGACACTTAAGTAACCCCTCAAATACATCGTTCATTAATCCTATTTAAATCTTTCGATACTTTGGCACCATTTTAAATCCACCTTCACCGCCTCCTTCAGCTTACTGTAAGCTGCTTGGTGGGAGCGTCACATAGCGTGTGGCGGGTCACACACTATGGATAATGTGTGGATAATGTGGCATGTGGATAATGTGTGGATAATGTGGATAATGTGGCGCATTATCCACATGCCTGGCTTGTGACCTGCATAGGGCTCTTGTGTAATTGGTAACAACTTTAAGTGTCTTTGGTCTACTTCACAATAACTTCTAGGCTTATCCAGTCACTGCAGACCCGAGATCACTTTTAAAAACTTTACGTGACAGCTTACTACTGCTACTTGGCGCTCACTTTAGAGCTTATGCGGTCACTAGAGCTACTTGGCGCTCACTTTAGAGCTTATCCAGTCACTAGAGCTACTTGGCGCTCACTTTAGAGCTTATCCAGTCACTACAGCCACTTGGCGCTCACTTTAGAGCTTATCCAGTCACTACAGCCACTTGGCGCTCACTTTAGAGCTTATCCAGTCACTACATCTACTTGGCGCTCACTTTAGAGCTTATCCAGTCACTACAGCCACTTGGCGCTCACTTTAGAGCTTATCCAGTCACTACAGCTACTTGGCGCTCACTTTAGAGCTTATCCAGTCACTACAGCTACTTGGCGCTCACTTTAGAGCTTATCCAGTCACTACAGCTACTTGGCGCTCACTTTAGAGCTTATCCAGTCAGTAGAGCTACTTGGTGCTCACCTAGCAGCTTAAGCACACAGTACCTGGTTCCTGGAACACGGAGAAAGACCCAGCAAGTCGATGGCAACAGAGCGCAGGTGTCCAGCGGCCTCCATGTTGCTACACTGTACTGTGAACAGTGATACAGTGTCTCCTGATAGCTCCGTCCAGAGCCCTCCCTGGAGATGTGGGGGCTGGTCATGGTCTGGGGGGAGGGGGGGAGCTGGTCGTGGTCTGGGGGAGCGGGGGGAGCTGGTCATGGTCTGGGGGGGGGGGTCTGGGGGGAGCTGGTCATGGTGCGGGGGGAGCTGGTCATGGTGCGGGGGGAGCTGGTCATGGTCTGGGGGGAGCGGGGGGAGCTGGTCATGGTGCGGGGGGAGCTGGTCATGGTGCGGGGGGAGCTGGTCATGGTCTAAGAAGCAGGGGAGCTGATCATGGTCTTAGACGCAGGGGGAGCTGGTCATGGTCTAAGAAGCAGGGGAGCTGGTCATGGTCTAAGAAGCAGGGGAGCTGGTCATGGTCTAAGAAGCAGGGGAGCTGGTCATGGTCTAAGAAGCAGGGGAGCTGGTCATGGTCTAAGAAGCAGGGGAGCTGGTCATGGTCTAAGAAGCAGGGGAGCTGGTCATGGTCTGGGGAGCTGGTCATGGTCTAAGAAGCAGGGGAGCTGGTCATGGTCTGGGGAGCTGGTCATGGTCTAAGAAGCAGGGGAGCTGGTCATGGTCTGGGGAGCTGGTCATGGTATAAGAAGCAGGGGGAGCTGGTCATGGTCTAAGTAGCAGGGGAGCTGGTCATGGTCTGGGGAGCTGGTCATGGTCTAAGAAGCAGGGGAGCTGGTCATGGTCTGGGGAGCTGGTCATGGTCTAAGAAGCAGGGGAGCTGGTCATGGTCTGGGGAGCTGGTCATGGTCTAAGAAGCAGGGGAGCTGGTCATGGTCTGGGGAGCTGGTCATGGTCTAAGAAGCAGGGGGAGCTGGTCATGGTCTAAGAAGCAGGGGAGCTGGTCATGGTCTGGGGAGCTGGTCATGGTCTAAGAAGTAGGGGAGCTGGTCATGGTCTGGGGAGCTGGTCATGGTCTAAGAAGCAGGGGGAGCTGGTCATGGTCTAAGAAGCAGGGGAGCTGGTCATGGTCTGGGGAGCTGGTCATGGTCTAAGAAGCAGGGGAGCTGGTCATGGTCTGGGGAGCTGGTCATGGTCTAAGAAGCAGGGGAGCTGGTCATGGTCTGGGGAGCTGGTCATGGTCTAAGAAGCAGGGGAGCTGGTCATGGTCTGGGGAGCTGGTCATGGTCTAAGAAGCAGGGGGAGCTGGTCATGGTCTGGGGAGCTGGTCATGGTCTAAGAAGCAGGGGAGCTGGTCATGGTCTGGGGAGCTGGTCATGGTCTAAGAAGCAGGGGAGCTGGTCATGGTCTAAGAAGCAGGGGAGCTGGTCATGGTCTTAGACGCAGGGGGAGCTGGTCATGGTCTAAGAAGCAGGGGAGCTGGTCATGGTCTAAGAAGCAGGGGAGCTGGTCATGGTCTGGGGAGCTGGTCATGGTCTAAGAAGCAGGGGAGCTGGTCATGGTCTAAGAAGCAGGGGAGCTGGTCATGGTCTAAGAAGCAGGGGGAGCTGGTCAGGGCCGGAGAAGCGGGGCTTGCTGGTTATAGCCGGCCTAGGATTAATAACCGGCCGCGCCCGCTTCATATAAAAGGTTATTGATGTTTCGCGCTTCAGAGGTAAGAGCAACGGGTGATATATTTTGATCGTGCTGAGGTCAATAATACCAGCGGTGCGTTCTCCCTCCCTCTCCTAGTTCACGGCTATTCATCCTTCACTCTCCTGCGTCCTGCCCTCCCTACAGCTGTCGCTGGAGATAAGTTGCTTGTAGGTGGGGATTTGAGGTGTGCTATTTATAAGGGATTTACGCCCTCTTAATGAGCCAAAGGGATCGAAGTAAGTGTATTTAGCGGAAAACATTTGGCTTTCCACCAGCGGGGATCGCGTACTTCGCCTGCCACTTATCCCGCTGACTCCACTTCCCCCGGCGGGTAATGACGCGATGGAGACCGACGGACGAATCAGAGATCAGAATGGGTTAGACTCCGCCCCCTCGAGGAAGCTCCGCCCCGAGGCTTGGACCATTGGGGCGGGGCCGCCTAAAGCCGATAGCGCGAGGCATGGGGGAGAGTGCGTCCAGACGCCCCACCGGTAACACCATCACTCGCGCGTGTCCTCCGGCTAGGATACTAATTTCCCGAGGGACTACTTGTGCTCCGACGGCTCCGGTTTAACCTCCACCCCTCCTCCCCCCTCCCCGAGGCTCATCCATCCGCCATGATAACAGTAAGTAGTCCACGACGCTTCCCTCACGCACCTATGTTTTTGTCGCATTTTACGGCTGGGGACGACGGCTATCGCCGATTCGAACACGGCTGATGCTGCTGAAATGAAGAAATCCTCGTTAAATCACGCCGGAAATCGACAATCTGGCAATTAGTGCGATATAACTCTTACACCAATAACAAACGCGATACAAAGTGAAACAATGATGGTACTTGCATCACGGCAGAGAAGATGGCCGACAAAACTTGACGGATTCCTTGACGGAAAAAAGTGTGAACGAATCAGAAATATTTTCCCCCTTCACTGTGAAGAAACTAACACCCAAAACACGCCCCAACAGTCACAATAACTAATACCCTCCAAAAAAACAAACCTAGGAAGATATATTTATAGCACTTTGTAGCTATCGTATGATATCATCAGTGACTAAATTGGCCCGACCCGAGCACTGAGGGCACCTGCCTCACCTGGGCCCCGTCCTCACGCATTGATCTGCCGCCTCTTATGCTCAGTGGTGTACCTCTACGGCGTGTAGTATACTGACGTCGGTGTACCTTTATTGCGCATCTTTATTGACGTCAGTGTATCTTTATAGCGCATCTTTATAGACGTCAGTGTACCTTTATTGCGTACCTTTATTGACGTTAAAATATCTTTAGAGCGCATCTTTATAGACGTAAGTGTAACTTTATGGTGGTCAGTGTACCTTTATAGCCCATTTTTATAGACGTCAGTGTACCTTTGTTGCGCACCTTTATTGACGTCAGTGTACCTTTGTTGCGCACCTTTATTGACGTCAATGTATCTTTAGAGCGTATCTTTATACCTGGTTGATGGGGTTCTGGGAGGAGTTCTACTCCCCAAGCCCGGCCCGAGGCCAGGCTTGACTTGTGAGAGTTTGGTCCACCAGGCTGTTGCTTGGAGCGGCCCACAGGCCCACATACCCACCACAGCCCGGTTGGTCCGGCACTCCTTGGAGGAATAAATCTAGTTTCCTCTTGAAGATGTCCACGGTTGTTCCGGCAATATTTCTTGTGCTTGCTGGGAGGACGTTAAACAACCGCGGACCTCTGATGTTTATACAGTGTTCTCTGATTGTGCCTATGGCACCTCTGCTCTTCACTGGTTCTATTCTGCATTTTCTTCCATATCGTTCACTCCAGTACGTTGTTATTTTACTGTGTAGATTTGGGACCTGTCCCTCCAGTATTTTCCATGTGTATATTATTTGGTATCTCTCTCGTCTCCTTTCTAGTGAGTACATTTGGAGAGCTTTGAGACGATCCCAATAATTTAGGTGCTTTATCTCGTCTATGCGTGCCGTATATGTTCTCTGTATTCCCTCTATTTCAACAATCTCTCCTGCTCTGAAGGGGGAAGTGAGTACTGAGCAGTACTCGAGACGGGACAACACAAGTGACTTGAAGAGTACAACCATTGTGATGGGATCCCTGGATTCGGATTTATAGACGTCAGTGTATCTTTAAAGCGTATCTTTATAGACGTCAGTGTATCTTTATAGCGTATCTTTATAGACGTCAGTGTATCTTTGAGCGCATCTTTATAGACGTCAGTGTATCTTTAAAGCGTATCTTTATAGATGTCAGTGTATCTTTATAGCGTATCTTTATAGACGTCAGTGTATCTTTGAGCGCATCTTTATAGACGTCAGTGTATCTTTAGAGCGCATCTTTATAGACGTCAGTGTACCTTTATAGCGCACCTTTATTGACGTCAGTGTACCTTTATAGCGCACCTTTATTGACGTCAGTGTACCTTTATAGCGCACCTTTATTGACGTCAGTGTACCTTTATAGCGCACCTTTATTGACGTCAGTGTACCTTTATAGCGCACCTTTATTGACGTCTGTGTATCTTTATTGCGCATCTTTATAGACGTCAGTGTACCTTTATTGTGCAACTTTATTGACGTCAGTGTACCTTAATAGTGGTCATCGTACCTTGCAGCGATCATCGTACCTTGCAGCGTTCATCGTACCTTGCAGCGTTCATCATACCTTGCAGCGTTCATCGTACCTTGCAGCGTTCATTGTACCTTGCAGCGTTCATTGTACCTTGCAGCGTTCATTGTACCTTGCAGCGTTCATCGTACCTTGCAGCCTTCATCGTACCTTGCAGCGTTCATTGTACCTTGCAGCGTTCATTGTACCTTGCAGCGTTCATTGTACCTTGCAGCGTTCATCATACCTTGCAGCCTTCATCGTACCTTGCAGCGTTCATCGTACCTTGCAGCGTTCATTGTACCTTGCAGCGTTCATTGTACCTTGCAGCGTTCATTGTACCTTGCAGCGTTCATTGTACCTTGCAGCGTTCATTGTACCTTGCAGCGTTCATTGTACCTTGCAGCGTTCATTGTACTCTATAGCGTTCATCATCCCTTGTAGCGTTAAGTGTACTCTACAGCGTTCATCATACCTTGTAGCGTTAAGTGTACTCTACAGCGTTCATCATACCTTGTAGCGTTAAGTGTACTCCACAGCGTTCATCATACCTTGTAGCGTTAAGTGTACTCTACAGCGTTCACCATACCTTGTAGCGTTAAGTGTACTCCACAGCGTTCATCATACCTTGTAGCGTTAAGTGTACTCCACAGCGTTCATCATACCTTGTAGCGTTAAGTGTACTCTGCAGCGTTCATCATACCTTGTAGCGTTCAGCGTACTCTGTAGCGTTCATCATACCTTGTAGCGTTCAGCGTACCTTTATAGTACTCATCATACCTCTATGGCGTTACGCGTACCGTTCTAGCGTTCACCGTACCTTTCTAGCGTTCACCGTACCGTTCTAGCGTTCACCGTACCGTTCTAGCGTTCACCGTACCGTCTCGGCCTTCACCGTACCGTTCTAGCGTTCACCGTACCGTCTCGGCCTTCACCGTACCGTCTCGGCCTTCACCGTACCGTCTCGGCCTTCACCGTACCGTCTCGGCCTTCACCGTACCGTCTCGGCCTTCACCGTACCGTCTCGGCCTTCACCGTACCGTCTCGGCCTTCACCGTACCGTCTCGGCCTTCACCGTACCGTCTCGGCCTTCACCGTACCGTCTCGGCCTTCACCGTACCGTCTCAGCCTTCACCGTACCGTCTCAGCCTTCACCGTACCGTCTCAACCTTCACCGTACCGTCTCAGCCTCCACCGTACCGTCTCAGCCTCCACCGTACCGTCTCAGCCTCCACCGTACCGTCTCAGCCTCCACCGTACCGTCTCAGCCTCCACCGTACCGTCTCAGCCTCCACCGTACCGTCTCAGCCTTCTACCGTCTCAGCCTCCACCGTACCGTCTCAGCCTCCACCGTACCGTCTCAGCCTCCACCGTACCGTCTCAGCCTCCACCGTACCGTCTCAGCCTCCACCGTACCGTCTCAGCCTCCACCGTACCGTCTCAGCCTCCACCGTACCGTCTCAGCCTCCACCGTACCGTAGCCTCCACCGTCTCAGCCTCCACCGTACCGTCTCAGCCTCCACCGTACCGTCTCAGCCTCCACCGTACCGTCTCAGCCTTCACCGTACCGTCTCAGCCTTCACCGTACCGTCTCAGCCTTCACCGTACCGTCTCAGCCTTCACCGTACCGTCTCAGCCTTCACCGTACCGTCTCAGCCTTCACCGTACCGTCTCAGCCTTCACCGTACCGTCTCAGCCTTCACCGTACCGTCTCAGCCTTCACCGTACCGTCTCAGCCTTCACCGTACCGTCTCAGCCTTCACCGTACCGTCTCAGCCTTCACCGTACCGTCTCAGCCTTCACCGTACCGTCTCAGCCTTCACCGTACCGTCTCAGCCTTCACCGTACCGTCTCAGCCTTCAGCGTACCATAACAGTGAACACTTCTAGCAGGCGTTGGCCGGTGCTTGTGTAGTGTGGCGTCGTGCGCCATAGTTGGGTCGTTAAGGGGCCTAATTAACGGGCTCCATATTTCTTAAGACTAGGCGCTGTGACAGCTGCTCTAGGCGCTGTCACAGCTGCACTAGACGCTGTCACAGCTGCTCTAGGCGCTGTCACAGCTGCTCTAGGCGCTGTCACAGCTGCTCTAGGCGCTGTCACAGCTGCTCTAGGCGCTGTCACAGCTGCTCTAGGCGCTGTCACAGCTGCTCTAGGCGCTGTCACAGCTGCTCTAGACGCTGTCACACCTGCTCTAGACGCTGTCACACCTGCTCTAGACGCTGTCACAGCTGCTCTAGGCGCTGTCACAGCTGCTCTAGACGCTGTCACACCTGCTCTAGACGCTGTCACACCTGCTCTAGACGCTGTCACACCTGCTCTAGACGCTGTCACACCTGCTCTAGACGCTGTGTTCGTGTCAGCCGTCAATATCGTACTTATGTCATTGCACGTTTCGGCTGTCGGTCAATGGGAGTTTTGCGCACCTGTCAAGGTAAGTTTTGCGCACCTGTCAAGGCAAGTTTTGCGTACCCGTCCACGCAATTCGTGCTTTCCCGTGCTGGGGGTGGATGCGTAATGGAGCGTAATGTGGCGGGAAACGTCCCCGAGGCTTGGTGGTGACGCACAAGCCTCGTGGCGTATGTGCAAGATGTGTGACGCAATGTGTGTGTGGAGTGACGCAGTGTGTGTGGAGTGACGCAGTATGTGGAGTGACGCAGTGTGTATGAGGAGTGACGCAGTGTGTATGTGGAGTGACGCAGTGTGTATGTGGAGTGACGCAGCGTGCGTATGTTTTGATACAGCACGTACACGGCGTGACACATCATTTGCGTATTTTAGCGTATGTTAAATGCGTAATGTATTTCTGTATTTTGTATTCTGTAGTGTTCTACCTCGTCCAATTGATTAATAATTCTAATACAGCAAAAATTATTATTATTATTGTCGAGAAAATAAATTGGAAAATAATGCGGGGATTCGAACCAGCGACCCGGGTGCTGCCAGCCCCACGCCCTAACTCACTGGAGCAAGACATGAGCTATAAGTAACCTACCCCCGGGGTGCTCAGGTCTCCTCCATAGATGACGCCACTCGCCTCATA